TGGGCTACAAACAGGGGATTGGTCTAGGGGAGGGATAGCAAAGCATCTCCACCATACCTCAGGGATCTTTTCTCCACTAAGGCTAGTTAGGAAATGAGAGGTGTTTCAACCCTGGACTGTATTTTTAAGATGACTAGTAAGGGGATCTTAACCCTTGACTTGGTGTTGTCAGCACCATGCTCACCCAGTAAGCTAACTGGCCATCCCTATATGGGATCTGAACCCATGGCCTTGGTGTTATCAGCACCACACTCTCCCAAGTGAACCACGGGCCGGCCCAACCCTGGGCTGTTGTGTGGCCAATTAAGGGAACAAAAATCATCCAAATATTTGTTAATGCCCTCTGGGGGTTAGGCCCACTGCTAAGAAGGTCTAAGACATGTCTTTGCCCTTACAGTCGATGGTAGAGGAGACAGGCACATACCAACAGCGTGTTGTCAGTATTGTTACTGTTTTTATATCTCATTTCTTTAGATTCAGCTACTGAGAAGTTATTCTTCTGGTGGTGTTAATGTCTCCTTGGTTTTTCCTGTTTGTTGTTGCCTTACGTTGATATCTGCACGTTTGAAGAAGTAGGGTCTTATTTTAGTCTTTGTCTGGGAAAGCCCTTCACCAGGCAACCTGTCCAGAGATTCTGGAAAGGCCATCTGGTGTATTTCGTGGGGAGGCTTGCTGCCGGAGTCTTTGGGCAGGCTCACCTGGTGCCTATGTTTTTGAGGAATGAACCGAACAGTGAGAGACAAACTGTTGCCTGGGCTAGTGAGAGGGTAGTCAGGGATGATTTCACAAGGGTGGTGACATTTGAGCTGGACTTTGAAAAATGAGGAGGTACCCATGTAAAGAAGGAGGTGGGGGCAGAAAGGGTAGCATTCAGCAGAGGCAACAGTACCAGTGGAAGTGCAGAGGTGCCAGTATGTAGTGGCATGTAGGCCAGTATTATGTGTGGAAGGAGTGTTGAAGGAGGTAGTAGGAAATATATGTTGGGGTAGTATTTCAAAGAGGGTCTTGAATGCCATGATGAGTAGTTAGTTAATAGAGTATTAACCTAATAAGTTCAGGTAGTCATTCAGCAAACACCAAGTGCCTACTATGTGCTTAGTAAGGATGACAGAGAAGCCTGAATTATTGTCCATCTTGTCAGTAATGTTAGAATCTAGTTGTGAGAATACGATATACAGAAGTAAAGTGCTTCCTCACAATGTAAGGCTCCAAGTCAAATGAGTAGAGCAGATGTAGCTAAGAGTCAGGAGGGCTTTCTAGAGGAAGTGGCACTGGAGCTTGGGCAGTGAAAGAAGGGAAAGATTTAGGGAGTTGACAGGGAAGCCACTCTCGGTTCAGCATTAATAGGGCTAGAAGGATCTTAGAGGTCCTTTCAAATTGGAAAACTGAAATTCAAAGTGGAGAAATGAGAGCCCCAGCCTACTATTCCCTTTTCTCTACCACACCATGAGGGTGAGTGGAAAGGTAGGAGTGGGTGATAAGGAACAGAAGAAAGTGCTGCACCCACCCTTTCCAACCCCAAACCCCACATAGCTTTTCTTGAAGTTAGTGGTGACCAATATGTGTCCTTTTAGGTCATGTCCAAAGTAATGGAGATGTTCCAGCCTAGTGCAGTGGTCTTACAATGTGGCTCAGACTCCCTGTCTGGGGATCGCTTAGGTTGCTTCAATTTGACCATCAAAGGTGAGACCAAGTAGCACAAGAATGGGTGGGCAGGGTCCTGCTGGGTGCTCCTATAACCCAGTACCCTTTCTCCCACCAAAGGGCACGCCAAATGTGTGGAATTTGTCAAGAGCTTCAACCTGCCTATGCTGATGCTGGGAGGAGGTGGTTACACTATTCGTAATGTCGCCCGGTGCTGGACATATGAAACAGCTGTAGCCCTGGACACAGAGATCCCTAATGGTAATAGTTCCAGGGCCAGGTTGGGCTGGGTGGAAGCTGGAGTTCATGTGTCCTCAAGTTCACAACTCCTTCCCCATTGGTCACATGACTAGTTCTCTTCTGATACTAGTCATTGAGTCTCCTGGGGCATAGCCATCAAAGGTATAGTCTATAACCTTGACAGACTATAGCCATCAATGGTTATTCACAGCTTTGGAATTTCTACTCTATAGAATAACTGGGGTAGTGAGTGAAGGGAATGCTTGCAAGGAGCATTGCCTTGAAGTGTCCTAAACCAGGGACTTAGTTGGGCCTTCTCCTAGTGACATATATACCACTGGTGTGGACACAGGAGAATGGTATTAAAAAGATTGAAATCCTAGCACCCAAGTCTCTCCCTAGCTTGGAGTCATCCTTCTATTTGATGGGCAAACAGGCCTAGATAAACCTACAAATGCATTTGTCAGGGTTACATGGTGGCCAGGTCTCTTGACTCTCTTCTCCCCTGACTCATTCAGAGCTTCCATACAATGACTACTTTGAATACTTTGGACCAGATTTCAAGCTTCACATCAGTCCTTCCAATATGACTAACCAGAACACTAATGAGTACCTGGAAAAGATCAAGTGAGTATATCACCCCTGGCCATCCCCCTATTCCAGGCTCTGGTTTATCCCTAACCAGAGTCCAACTACTCCCTCTCCCACTGACCATAGACAGCGACTGTTTGAAAACCTGAGAATGCTGCCCCATGCACCGGGGGTCCAAATGCAGGCGATTCCTGAGGACGCCATCCCAGAGGAGAGTGGTGATGAGGATGAAGAAGACCCTGACAAGCGCATCTCGAGTAAGGCCAGACCCAGGGGCCGGTGCCTTCTCACTCAGTAGGGAGCTCTGCCTTCCTTCCCCTTGTTCCTGGTTTCACATTTCCTCTAAGCTGTTCTCCCATTGAGAAACCTAAGTTTCAATTTCCAGTGCCTACAACAACAGGTTAGGGAGTCCGAGTTCCCTCCCTCGCCTCTTAGTCCCTTTCCCTTGGTGTCTCTTGGACATACAGGGAAGCACTGGGCATAGATCCTGAGATGAATAACCTCTTGCTCTCACCCATACTTTCCACTGCCTCCCAGTCTGTTCCTCTGACAAACGAATTGCCTGTGAGGAAGAGTTCTCCGACTCTGATGAGGAGGGAGAGGGTGGACGCAAGAACTCTTCTAACTTCAAAAAAGCCAAGAGAGTCAAAACAGAGGATGAAAAAGAGAAAGACCCAGAAGAGAAGAAAGGTGGGTTTGGGTTGGGCCAGAACTTGGGTCTTAAACCCTAAGTCTTGGAGGAGGATGGATCTATGTAGGGCACTGGGAGGAGGGAGCTGACTCAGGCCCTGTAAGCTCCTTGGGCCTTTCAGCAACTCCCAGAAGTGGCAGTCCCACAAAACAATGAAACACTTCGTCATTTCTACTGGCTGATTGAGCATGGCTCTCACATACTACCCAAGCCCTTTTCCCAGCATTTTACCCGTTTCCCAGGGGGCTACCTCCACCCACAGGGTTCTTGGCTTTAGTAGGCTGGGAAACCGGTCCAACCTGTTTGTTCTCAACAGGGCTCACTGGGAGAACCTGGGATGGGGTTTTCTCTTTGTATGTCCAGTGAGCTGTAGTGTTGGGGGGGAGGTTTCAGGGTAAGTAAGGACCTCATGGGTCTTTCCAGAGGGGCTGCCCATGGCCATCCATGCACTCTTATGTTCTAGAAGTCACAGAAGAGGAGAAAACCAAGGAGGAGAAGCCAGAAGCCAAAGGGTGAGGAAGGAACTGTCTGTCGGCCATCTCCCTGGCATTGAAGCATCAGCCCGTTTGTCCCACCACTCAGAGGGAAGGCGCAGGGACAGCTGGTCCAGCTTACAAAGGCCTCTTTCAGGAACTAGTCTGTGTGTCTCTGCAGTTCTAGGCAGAGCTAGGAAGCCTCAGTCTCCAGCAGTCACCTGGGTAGCTGGGGTCCTGTGGAAGTCATTGTATCCACTTTTGCCTCAAGTCCTCTGGGGGGGGCGGTATCTCATGCCAGTCTCTGCTCTCTCCACAGGGTCAAGGAGGAGGTCAAGTTGGCCTGAACAGACATCTTCAGCTCTGGCTTCTTGCCACATTCTCCAACTTTCTCCCCCAACTGCTCAGATTTTATATTTTCTATTTCTCTGTGTATTTATATAAAAATATATTAAATATAAATATTCTCCAGAGACTAGACAGGAACCAGGGCCCTGAGCTCAGGGCAGCTGTGCTTGGTAAACTTTTCTAACAGCTGCCTTGCCACCCATCCCTCCTCAATTATTAATTTTGAATCATAAAGGGTACCTGGTCCTGGGTGGAAGGGATACTTTTATGCCTAAGTATCCATAAGACAAAATCCTGAAATGCCAAGTGCCTGTTTTGTAGCTTTGGAAAGGTACCCTTGCTGGGCATTCTAGAAGAGATGGCTGGGTCTTCAGAGACCCCGTGTTCTTTTCAGTCTCCTAAGTTAAAACAGCCATTTTTAGATTGGTTCTGTTCTCATACCTTCTTCCCACTGACCTCAAGTGAGCCAAGATACACTGCCTGCCCTCTGTCTTCCCCCAATTCTGCAGGTGGAGGTGGTAGTCTAGTTTCCTTTTTGAGATACTATTTTCCTTTTTTTGAGACTCTTTGTAATAAAATGGTACATTTCTATACCCTCCTGAGTGGTGGTTTTCTAGCAGTGTCCCTGGGTTGATTTTAACTTCTTCCCTACTCTTCTGGTTCTGGTGTCAATGAGTGTTTGGGCAACCCCCTCAACAAGAAAACCCATAAACTTACCTGTCTTAACCCCTTCCTTGAGGTTTGACCACCAATCTTCTCACCCTACCCCCAGAAGACCACTCATTAAGGCACCACTAAAGGGACGACATTTATTCCTTTTCCAAATGTTACAGTAAAACCAGGTGGAAGAGAATGGTTTTAGCAGTTAGAAAAAAAAAAAGTACAAATCTGGGGTTTGGCCATTAAAAGTTATTTACAACAATGGGAGAAGAAAAGACTTTCCAAATGTTACAGTAAAACCAGGTGGAAGAGAATGGTTTTAGCAGTTAGAAAAAAAAAAGTACAAATCTGGGGTTTGGCCATTAAAAGTTATTTACAACAATGGGAGAAGAAAAGAGACAAGAAATTGTTTCACATTACAGACCTCTCCCCCACCCCAAAGCCTAATACTTGCTTACAAAGTCAAAAAAGAGACACAGTCGATTCACAAGCTGGAGGTTTGAACTTGAGTAAGACATTTATAAAAACCTGGACTGAGGCAGTGTCCTCCCCAGCCCAGGTGCCACTAGGCACAGCACAAGAGACTAAAAACTCAACAGAGGGAAGGCTGGACACTCAGGGTTTGGGAGTATAAGCACCCCACTTCTGGCTCAGGGATTTGGGCAGTCAGGTAAACAAAACCTACTTGGAAAAGAATTGGGGAAGAAAACCAGCAATTGCCTTCTGCAAGGGTGGGGCCAGAGAAAGAGGTAGGGCCAGGGATAGGAGCATTTCACATCACTAACCTAACTTGGGAAACTGTAAGGGACCATCTTCAACTGGCCTTAAGAGGAAGACCAGATGGCTGATGGGAGAATCCACAGGAGGGAGAGGAGGAGGAGAGGGAACGTGGCTGGGAGGGGGCAACAACCCCTTCCTTTCCGGGCACAGGAAGGCAGCCAGGGCACCAGGTCCAGGTAGTGACCTCACAAGGACAGCACAGTTTTTGCAGCTTAGAGATCACCCACCTGCCCCCACCCAGCTACTCATTCTCAGCGTTGGCCGGTGTAGGGCCACTCTCCGGCCCTGAGGGAGTGGATGGCTCTGCAGCCTGGGGCCCTGCCTCTTCTTCCGTGTCTCCTCCCTTGGAGGCAGCACTAGCCTCTGCCCCCTTGGTCTGGGGCTCCTGGCTCTCAGGGGTGGCCACAGCCTTCCCTTCCTGGGCAGTGCCCTCGTCGCTGCAGGCACCGATCTCCCCCTGCTCCTGCTCTTCCTCCGTGGGTGAGGAAGCAGAAGAATCACCCCCACCCTCCTTCCGATTTCTCTTGAAGGACAGGCCGCTCAATTTGAAAGGCTTCTTGAAAGAGAATTTCTTCTTCTTCTTGGGGGTCTCCTTGGGGGGAACCTCCCCCTTGCCCTCAGCGCCCTGGCTAGGGGGTGCTGGCTCGATGGCATCGACAGTGGCCCCGGCCGCCTCATCTGTTCCGTTCACAGGGGGCGACTCCCCTTCACCCTTGGGGGATAAGTCTCCATTGCTTTTCACGTGGCCATTCTCCTGCAGGGCAGAGGAGACAGCAATGAGGGCTGGGGCTCTTCTCCCCCGGCCCGCTTCTGACCCCCTCCAGACAGCGGGGTCCCCAAAGTCTGGCTTTAACTTCACCCCACCCTGGGACCGAGCGCGCAGAGGCCGCGGCCGGCAGGAGGCGCTGGGTCCGAGGCCCCCACCCCCCTCCCCAGGGGCGCGCTCTTATTCCGCGCGGAACCGCTCCGGGCCGCGGA